TTGAATTTGATCGAATCAAATCAATTATTAATTTGAATTTGTATTTGATTTGATTTTTAAATCGAATATTCAAATATTAAATCGAATTGCGGAACCCTAGGAATCACCTTCTCAAAGCTTTTTCTCCCACTTTCTTTGTCTTATTTTCTCACTAATCCTTTTTTTATGTTCTTCATTCAAGAAAGCGTCTATCTCTCTGTTCTCTAATGACCTTCTTGATCTGATAACAAAACTACCTCTTCGATCTGTAAGGTAAGAGTCAACCCATTCCGATTGCACAGCCCTGAATCTCACATCTTTGATAAATTTAACTGACTATGAACTTTGTGAATAGACAGAAGCTTACATTTTTTAGGCTAAGCTATAACTGAGTCAGGTATGTTGACAGATTCTTTGAGAAAAAAATCATTTATTACCTTATTTGATACTGATTGCTCTGTAATCACCTCAGGTATCTCTTCTATTGACTTAGTATCAATATCATTTTGCTGTCTATTATAGAGTTAGATTCATCAACAGCTGATATTTCTGCTATTATTTCCTATTGTTCTGTGACTGCCTATTCACTACTAAGGATCCCTGTTTTAACATCAAGAGTCTAATCTCAAGTTTCATATTTTTTAGTTCTAATTTCTCGACTCTAGCATCATGCTTAGCATTCTCATCCATAACCTGCTTTAGAAGCTTGACATTCCTAGCTTCAATCTCAGCTTTCTCAGCTTAAGTTTAGCGTTCTTAGTCTCAAGCTCGCTAATACATTGTTCCAATAATTCAAGCTCTGATGTCATGATCTATAAACTATACACTATACATAAGCATTCAAAATAAAAAAAATCACGTATGCATGAAGATTCTTTATGTTGATCACTTTTGCCAAGAAAAATAAATTTTTTATTAATGCATATGAAAAATAAATACAAAGGATCAGGATGCAAAAAATATACTTAATACAATATTATTGACTTCAATTTTTTATTGATGCAGTAAATAAATTATATGATTCTGCTTGTAATAATGATACATAAATTTACAAGCGAAAAAGCTTTTCTATATTAATTTTAAACTATATTCATAATCCATTTTCATTTGTCATCATAGATATTCTGGATAAAAATAAAATAGTCGTCAATTATACTTATAAGACATGTATTGTCAGAAATAAATAAACGACATTAATCTTAGTAAAACTCACTGATATTTTATGTTATTTGCATTCAATAATGCTAGTAAGTTCTGTACGAAAAAATGGTCATTAGTTTGCGAGCCTTAAAATCATTTTCTTATAAATGCACACCGAAAAAATAATATATTTCATTTATACTTTATTAGCGTAAGTCTTATCCAGAATTTCAACATTTTTCAACGCTATTTTCAAACTGTGATACTTTAAATTAGGGAAAATAATATTACAATTTGGGTAGTCTGAGTAAAAAAAAAGTTGATTCGTAACATTGCACAAAGTAATATACTTTTACTTTTTTAAATCCTTCTATTGCGCAAATAGCCACATTAGTTAAAATTTTATATAAATGTTCATAAATTTGCCTGTTATTTAACAACTGAGTAATTTTGCTATTGTATTTCATTATAACGTTAAGATTAAGAGTAATTATTTCTTCATCATGTATTAGCGATTATACAATAAATGTCAAATCAATTAAATAGTTTGATTAAAAATGATCTGACTGGAAAAAGGTATGTGATAATGTATGACACATATGACATATCATGGTATAACTCAAAAGGGTATAATACAAAATCCCGAAACCCAAATTTCTGATAGGCCCAAATCCTGAAACTCAAAATACTGACAGGTCCAAAATCTCGATAGGTCAAAATCCCGATAGGTTTAAAATCCCGACAGGTACTAAGGTGATATTACTACCAATTTCGTAAATAAAATTAATGAAAAACTAACCTTAAATATAGTATTTAATAAAATTTAATTAAATTTAACATTAAATAAAATAGAACAATATATATCGTACCTGTCGGGATTTTGTATCTGTCAGGATTTTGACCTGTCGAGATTTTAGACCTGTCGGGATTTTGAGTTTTAGGATTTAGGCCTGTCGGAAATTTGGGTTTCGGGATTTTGGACGGTACTGAACTCAAAATTATTACACATCTTTTTATATATAATGCGTTTGTAACTTCAAAAATTTTTCTAAACTTTCTTTCATCCTTATTTTATAAATATTTAGCCTAAAAGACATTGACTCTTTTTGTTCTTGGTAGTGTTCTTGAGACTTCAGTTGATATATGCGATAATAATACCATTTATGATGCAAATAGTTCTCGCGATATCTCTATTGACTTACTTAAGATCAATCATCTAAAAAAGCTTATATGGAATATTATAAAAGAAAGCGAGAAAAATATTAACCAAGCTATTAGATTAGAATTATAAAAAGTTGAGATTTCATGCAATGACAATGAGTTGTTCTTGTTTAATGAAATATTTAATAAAGGACAAGACATTAAAAATAAACTTAGAAAAAATTTGAACCAAGGTGATTTTTATGAAAAATAATTTTAAGCGAATATCATCTTCCATTTAAAAAAATTCATATCGTTGTAAAACTGCCAAAACCCGCTATCACTGGTAAGTGTATTCCATTGGTTTACTTCTCAAACAAGAAATTCACATTATCTCACATATTATATTTTTTATTTGATTAGGAAAGAGAAGACTGGAAGAGGATAAAAAAGGTGGAAGTCAAATGAGAGGAAAATCTGACTATCCTTTAAAATCAAAGGATGGCTATGATAGTCTTAGGAAATAGATTAGATGAAATCATTAAATTCATGGAAATGAATCACGTTAATCTTTTGCAAAGTACACCATCATCAGGAAAAACTACCATAAGTCAGACATTTCGAGACTATTTTTCTAATTGTGGTAGTTTCTATATAAGTCTAGCTGGATTAGGTAGTAGAAAGCAAATAACCGAGAAACATTTTGAAAATTTCTGAAGGAACGAAGTTGGTTGTAGCTAGACAAAAATCAGTGATAACATAGGGACCATTTATGTTTTCATAGATAAAATACAAGTTATTTATAATAACTGTGTTGATTTCTTTTTGGGTAAAGTGAAAATGCTTATGTCAAGTGAGAATAAAAACAAAAATGATATTTACAGAAGATGATCACAGATACCCGAACGATTAATTAAACTATTTGAATATACTTATTATATTAATATTTTTTTAGAATAAGCAAAAAATTTATTTGTTCTGAACATTTCCTATATATTTTATTAAAAAAAAAATAAAAAACT